TAATGAAGTTGTGTGATGACCCGTTGTCTACGAGCACCATTACCCTACGATCCTTGACCCAAGCAGGCAATCGCATCGTCCGAGGCCCCCGGATCCCTGCCATTGTGTGCATCGATATCTCTGCTTCTTCTTCGGGCACTTCAACCTCATCTTCCTGATGTGGTTCTTCCTCGACCTCTGATTCCTCCTCATCAGAATTAGCAACTTCTATCACGAAAGCTTGCTTACATTGACGGCCCGGTGTAAATTTTTCTTCGCATTTGAAACATAGGCCCTTCTCACGTCGGCGTTTGACTTCCTCGGGGGAAAGTCGCCTAACTACGGGCCCTGCCGGTTGACTGCTGACGTTCGGCCGTGTGCTAGCCGTCGCCTGGCTCGGGACTGTGCAACACATGTTGGTGAATCGGGCGTCTGCCCGTCCCCTTCGTGTTGCGACTAGGTGATCCTCGCGTCGTCGGGCAACTTCCATAGCGACGTGCATAGTGTCTGGCCTCTCTAAATGAACCTATGCAGCTAGATCGAATTTCAATCCACCTACAAACGCTCCTACCAATGCATCCTCGGGCCAATCACGCACGCGGCATGCCAACCATTCGAACTCCCTGATATATTCGCGCAAGCTGCCTGTCTGTCGTATGCGCGTGAGAGCCTCATTATAATTGTGGTAATCGGATGTGCCAAAGCGTGTGATAAATTCCCTCTCAAAATCGGCCCATGTGATGGCCTGTTGCCGCTTGCGATAGATCCTCATGAGCCATTGCCACCATACATTGGCCTCCCCATCAAGATAATAAGCAGCGTACCTTACATGATCTGGGCCGACCATCTCGTTGAGCTCGAAATATTGCATCGCCCGGTTGAGCCATGCATCTGGGTCGCTGCCGGTGAACGTGGATAACATGATGCAGGGCTTGTCGACCTTGGGGTGCTCGCGATAAGTGGATGCCTGGGACTACCGATCGAACTGGTCCTCACGTTCGTACTCTTCTCGTCGGCATTCCTCTCCTTCGGCCCGCTCGCGGTCATGGTGCCATGCATGATCGTGTTGCCGCGGCAGTGGTAGGCGTGTGAGCACCGTGCGCGCCATCTCGTCGAAGCACCTATTTACGGTTTCCATCAGATCTTGTACCATCGTCATCATATTATCAAGCCCTTCTCCTAACGTATCGATAGCTTTGCTCAAACCACAGTACTGGACATCGAGATTATCGATTTTATACTTCATCTCTTTGTTGGCCATGGCTTTCCTTTCTTCTCTTCGCTCTTTGCTTTGTGGACTCGTGGTTGAAGATGAATTTGGATTTTTTATTTTTATTTTTTTATTTATTTTTTTTTGGATCGAACGAAATAAAAGAAGGAAGAAAAGAAAAGAAAAGGGAATGGGTTGGGAAAAAGACACACGATCTAACACCTCTCAATGAAAGCACCAATGATGAAGATCGCGTGTCTCGACTGTCGATAAGCCGCTAGCCCGCGCCTTGAATCGCCGATAGGAGTTCTTCGAGCCACAACAGCGCCTCTTGGAACGAATAAAATTGCAATAGAATTTTGGTGAAAAACTAAAGCAAAGTGGAAGAACAAAAGTTCAGATTTCTATTCATAAAATTGATGATGAAAAATAATATGGGGATAGGGCCTTTATATAGGCACAAAATATGTCTAAGCCTAATCTACCTAGGGAACTAATAAAGCAATAAAATATTAGAAATCCTAAACAAGATAGAAATCATAAAGCTAAATAGAAACTAAATCTCTAGGTGTGCACTCCAAGTAACTATCTCTCTCTCTTCCTACGCATGAGACCGCCTCACGCCTGCCCGCCGTGCGCGCCGCCTTAGTCCACGCCCTAGTCCTCGATGACTAGGGCACCGTCTTTCGCGCGTGCCTCGTCACCCGGCGTGGTGTGCACGCCAGTGCCTTTCGCGCCCGTCTCATGCGCGTGACCGTCCGCCAGTCCGCATTCCTCAAGGAATGGGGCTTCGCGCCCCGCGCGTTTCTCCCAGCGCGCAT